AATCTGGGCTTTCTCGGCATGGAAGTATTTTGGGGTTTTTGGAAAAATTGTATCTTATACACAGTATGGTACAATTTACTTACGTAGCTCTGCAGTTCTTCATTTAGTCAGTCTTGTGATTTTTTTTGTGTAACAAGTAAGCTAAAACTGGTTTCTGATAAGCAGTAGTGAAGGCATTTCTGCAAATTGGAAAAAAGATTTCTTTAATGAATGTTTCTGTGTTGGTACAATCATGTGCAAAGTCCCAAAAATTGATAGTTGCTTTCTGTTTGGTTTTAGGTGTGGGCAGCAATTCCTCCGTGGAAACAGGGCACTCTGTCAGAATTTGTGGTAGCTAGTGGAAATGAGGTAAACCTTCAAAAATGTGGCTAACAGACAAAAAACCAAAATGGTAAAGATTTTTCTTTACAAAAAATTTCTTCACTGTCTAAGTAACTTTATTTCGTAGTGCTTGGATTGATTTAGACTCCAGCTAGTTATGAAGATAGCTGAAAATGTGGAATACGCAATCCGCAATTCAGTAAAACTTCTTTAAACATTTCAGTGTCACATAGGATCTGATGTGTGACTTAGATATGATTGATTTTATTTCAGGTGTCTTTTAAGCCGAAGTGTCTCAGTCACACAGAAGCTGCCTCCTTACCATATGTAGGTCTCACAGCATGGTCTGCAGTTAACCAAGTTGGAGGACTGAACCAAAGTAATTGTAGTGGGAAAAGGTAGGTAAATAGTGCTGGGACTAAAACTTAAGTGTTTCATTTTTATACTGATTAGCTGCTTCTAAGACATGTCCAACAGCCATGAAGACTGTTACACCATGACATTCACGAAAACCAGCTAACCTGAAGATGCTAGGTTCAATCTACACAACTGCTGAGAGAGGCTTCTTTAGAGGGAGGCTCAGACGAGGGCCCTAACTGTAGTGTACCTAGTAACTTGCTTCCTCTATATAGTGACTATATAGAGGTGGTCCAATGTATATCTAATGTATAGGACTATACAGAGAATTTAAGGATGGTATCTCTAGGAATTTACAGGGATTTTGCCTTTCTGCCTGCTAGGACAGCTAGCCAAATCAAATATCCTCTCTGAGTTATTTTGGCAACTCACAAAAAGACCTTTCAGCTACAGAGGTGTGGCTCACTCTGCTCCTGCATGTGTGGGCCATTTGGGACAGACTGGTTTTGCAGCATTTTAGAGAAAAATGAGCAGGTGACTGGGTATCATTTGACCGGTAGGCCAGAACTTTGATGAAGTCAGGAATGCAGAAGAGAAGAGGAAAACGTGCAAGTCGAGCAGCCAAATCAAATAGAAAAATTGGCTTTGTTTATCAGCCTGTTAATCTGACAATGGCAGATGGAGAAGAGGAAAAATGCATTGAAAGATTGGAGCAGATACCATTTTTCTCCTGATAATTGAAATTTGCAGTTATTTTGGCCTTTGGATGTTTGTGTAAATAGACAGCAAAATATTCAGAATGGAAAGAAGGGCAAAAGCAAAAATACTGGAATTGAAAAATAATCATTAAAATTACTACGCTGCACCAAAAATTTAGGTCATAAAGTAATTATTGGGCAGTAGGAGTCCAGATGCCTGACCTTCTCTTAGCTTGGGTGTTACTATTATAATGCAACACATTGGCAAGGACACTAGATTTATTGAAATTCCTCACCCGCATCTTTAGAAGATAATTGAGAGAGTGAGTGTTCATATGTCATGGTAAATTTCATTGTAAAAATATCAAGTAATTGTTTGTTCTAAAGATAAACAATGTTTTGAGAAAATGAAATTGCAAAATTCAAAGCAATTTCAAAGAGACATAATTGAAATTAACTTCCAGCTAGTGATAAAATTCTAGATACGTTGCCTTCCTTTTTATTTTTCAGTATTTAGACTTTTTTTATTATCTTAACTTTCACATCTAAATAGAATTAGAAAGAGAAGTTAATAGGCTAACCTTGTTTAAAGTATCTTTCCAATCTTCAGGTAAGTGTTTAGATTGTTAGAAGTGAAATTCAAACTGCATTTATATTGTGTCATTATATTTAACATTTACTTTTGCGTTCCCAATAAATATTTAATTACTCTGTCAGCAAAAAACATTTTAATGTACTTATAAAATTATGATGTTTCCCATCTAAAAGTTTTGAATTGTAAAACCAGCAGAGAATGACTTACGTGACAGTAGCTTTTTTTCCCCTGAAAAAGTTCTTGTAGGAAAATACATAAAGTGTGTTGAAGGGGCTGTGCAAAAGTATATTCCATGAACTTTGCGTTAGTCTCTCAAGGCAATAATTTCAAAAGACAAGATTTTACGTAATGTTTCTTAATTTCTAGAAATAATTTAATGTGTTTGGTAAGAAGTTACCTACATATGTGATTTTATGTTGGTCTTTTTGTCACCTGTAAGTCTATGTAAATAACTATGTAGAAGGGTATATATACACACAAGAGTGAGTCTTATTTTGAGAGAGCAGCTGTATTCCTTGATGAAAGCTACTTCACTGATACTTTATTGCAGTGTTAAGACATCTTAGAAACAGCGAGATTTTTCTATTGGTGTGTATTGTTTTCTTTGCCTTCCTTTTGTGGAAGGGTGAGCTAACCAGGAATACTGGCTATCAGTCCAACATCTGACTGTGTGTTGATCTGATGGGAGTATCTGCTGCATCTGCATACACTTTCACAAATTTTGTTTTTACAAGTTACCTGAAGTGTGCTCACATTGTTCATGATGTCTCCTGCTTCACTAGAACTCCAGTTGTTTCTCCATAACTTTTATCCTATACCACTGTAATTTATTGTCAATATTCTTGCACAAGCTAAAAGTGAATGTTCTTGTTATCCAAAATGTTCAGAACGACTCTGTTGTTTTGAAGGTCTCTGTGGGTAATACCTGGAGAGCTTCTCATATGTGCCAGTCTCCTGTTTCAGCAGAAAGGGGATATGCTTGTTCAACAATAGCTGTTAAATATCTTGCTTGCTGTATTCACAAAAAGCATGATAAAAACAAACCTGACAATCTAAGAAGTTCTTGAAAATGTTTACCTTAAGTAAAGGTCTTTTATATAAACACAGAGTCAGTATTTTATACGTTTAAGTATGCTGGGGAGAGATGCTGGATTCTGTTACTGTAAACTATTAAACGTGTACTCCTGGTTTATATTGTTACAATGAAAATTTGAATAATATAATACCCCAAGAAAATAATTTTTTAAAGTCTGTATTTCATAATTTTATTTGTTGGAAGTACAAAGTGAGTGTAGGTTGTAAAATTTCTTCATAGGGTAAATGCTTCTTGATACAGGAATAAATCTCTTAGGGACATTTTGTTGGCATAATCAAATGGAATTTAATTTTTTATATGTAGATAGAAAATTGATGTATTTATTCAATAAATATAATATTTTTTTACTTGGCATGTGGCTGAGTCACTGAAAATTGTTAGTTGTTTATAATCTGGAGAAAATGTTGGTCCTTGATCTGTAGACCCGCTCCCCACCCCTGTGTCTTTTTTTTTGAGGCGGGGGGACACAGCCAAAGTGGGTCCTGGCTCTCTGATGCTAGTTTCTGACCGCACCGTAGTTCCAAGCAGGGCTCAGGGCTAAACTCTCAGATCCCATGGTATGCTCCTCTGGAGAGATCTGCTGAACTCTCTGAACTGCTAGAGCCTCATATGGGGCTTGGTGAATGCTCGCTTGAATTACGTGCCTCTGTCAGAAAGGAGCAAAACCTGGGGTAGGAACGTTTGGTTTATTCTTTTGATAGACTTGGTTCTCTTGGTTCTTGGTTCGGGTCAAATAATTCGTCACTTGGTTCCCTCATGCACATGCTTATATGTTAGTTTACTTCTGAGCTCACCTTTGCAGTGAAACAAGTAGTTTCTCTGATATGTCTTCTCCTGGCTATGTTTTCCTGAAGCAGTGCAAACAAAACGGTGCCTGCTTTGGCACTTTCCACCATCTGTGGTCCTTCGGTACCATCCTAACAGGTCCTGCACCTTCAAACGCTTCCCCAGTTCCTTGTGTTGTGCCAAACCACGTGTCTTGCTGTCCTCAGTGCTGTGAAAATGCTGATCTGTTGAGCTGTGGCACATGGATCTCCTGTGCAGACATAATTTGTCTCTGAAGTGAAGAGAATTCTTGGAAGTCACAGTGTATGGAGAGAGTTTTAATAATTAGAAGGTTTGGTAGAAAGTAACCCATGTAACATAGGAACAAACCAAATCTGGGAAGTATTTCTACCTGAAGAATCTCAAGGGCTTTTATTGAAGGGGGAAATAAAAAAAATTCCTAGCCAAGCAGCTCCCCAAAACAGCTACTTAAATCCTTGAGCAAAATGTACATTTTAAAATGACAGCTTTGTCCAAAATTTGTAGTGGAAGAAATGCCCTTTAAGCAAGGACTAAAATTGGAAAGGCATTTTGATGAGGTTTTCTTGAAAGAATTTAATTGTGACTGTCCTTTGTAAGGATAAAGATGGGCTTAACCCAGTATCTTAAGTGTAGTGTCCCTGAGCCTTTTCAAGTATGATAAAATCTAAATATGGATGTTGCTTCAGGCATCTGTCGTTAGAAGCATGGTTCTGAGGATAAGTACTTTTTGGCAGACTTAAAAGCTGCAGGCATTGTGGTTTCAAATTCTTAATCTGAATTTTGCAGCTTGGATCAGTGAAATAGGAGGGAACGGAATCTGATCAGTTACAAAAGAGGAAGCATTTTAAAATGGGTACTGTGACCAAAGCCAAGTCTCTTAGGTTACTTCAAAGAAGTTTTGTAAACTGAGACTCCAGATTGTATAGTACAATTTTGCACTGTAAAAATTCCAATTTCCTTCAACATCCACCACAGTGAGATTTAAAACAGGAACATCACCGGCTTCTGAAGATACTGAAGTTTTTCTGGCAAACACAAGTTCTGAGAAACATGATGTTCCCCAATCATATGCCAAGACTTCATCTTGGATCTTTCTTTTGTCCTAGAATTAGCAAATGGGTCCAAAGTCCAAGCACTGTTTGTAACTTCAGCCGGAAGGCTTTCTCACGAATTCATTTTCTGAAGTTTAGTTATTAAATAAAATATCTGGTTGACATTTTTGAACAGTGATTAGGCTGCTAGCAGTAAGGTTCTCACACAACTAAACTTGCATTCATTTTTATGAAATTTAGGGTAGTGTGTTCAGTTAAAATGAACTCTCACTTTTTTTTTTCTTTCATTTTCTTGCTTGTGTGCCAATTTCTACAACCTGGCATTTGCAGGGTCTTGTTGAGATATACTGAACTAGAAAAAGTCTACTGCCTTTTTTTCTAAAGAAAAAGGCAGATACCTTAATTTAATAGAACTTAAACTTGTTTATGGTGAGGCTACTTCATTGTATTTTTGTCTTTCTTTTAGATAAATATTATGCAATATAGGAAAATTATGTTCCATGTATTCTGAAGTTCCCTGTCTCTGTAAATAATGTGATACTAAACCATTTTTCGATAACACAATTTGTGTAAAATGTTGGCGAATCAGATTTTTTTTTCTTTAGGAGTTACAACAGTGGAGTCTGGGAGACAGAAAGACTCTGAACTGATTTTGTCCCAAACTAAGCAATTATGTTTGGGAAAGTGAGGACAGGGTCAGGGTTTTTGGACGCTGAGTGTTACTGCCTGACAACTCCATGGCCTGGATTTAGTGGAAAGCAGATAGGAGGAAGGCTCTTTGGTTGTGCTGAGATAATGCTCTTGGCACAGGAAATGTGATCTGCGATATTAATTCACATTATTGGCTATCTGAAGAGTTAACTGCTAAGTAACATTGAATGACAAATACAATCTTTCGCTTAAAATAAGTTGGTGTCAGAGATGTGTAAGAAGCCTGAGAATGCATAGTTACTATAGAGTTTATTTAAAGAACTATTTAATATATTTTAATTTTCTCTTACAGAGTATTAATATTAGGAGCTTCAGGAGGAGTTGGTACATTTGCTGTACAGGTAATATAAACCAGCGTGCCCAGGATGCATCTTCAAACTATTCAATATGAAAAAAAAAATTAACGGAAGGGAATTGAGAGAAGGAATAGTGAAATAGCAAGCTGCTGATCGATCTGATCAATGTTTCCAAAAGTGAAATATTTTCAGATTTATTGCTTTCCATTTGTTACGTTGCATTAGTTTAAAATAGGAAGCAGGGACTTCCAAAGGAAGGAGTTATGAGTGTAGGTAGTGAAAGATTGCATTTCACAGTTTGGGTGCAGGAAATCTCTAATTGGTGTAACTTGAAATATATAGCCTCATTTCATTATCTTTCAGTCAGCTCGGCTCCATAAATAGAAAAAGAACTTGATGTATGAGTAGAAAAACTGATGGAGAATGTATCATCTACTGGAACTGTTGTAGGTGGTCAAATGATACGAGAGGCATGGGGCTTTTCTGTGCAGTGTATGTGACGCACAATGGCTTAGGTTAACTTTCCCTCGCTGTCTTTGCCCTGCTGCCCTTTTGTCTGTCTTCATTCCAGTAGCTCTAAACTTCGGAGAGTCAACATGCTTTTTTATTCATCCATTAATTGTGGAACAGCCTCTTTTCATGCTCTCAATTTTATTTGGGGATTTTGATTCTAATCGGTGTCTTTTCATGCTGAAACATCTTTCTCTTGAGAATATGAAAAAAATGTAGAAGTTGAGTGATGGCATCACTGTGTTCCATGTTACTAGACCATAAACGTAGTGGTTTTAAAAAGGCTTGCAGGAGAATTTGTAGTGGTATGCTATTTGCCTGCTCCATGATAAAGCAGGTGGCTAAATTAGATCGGTACGAAAGGCTGACCAGCCACTGACTAGTTGCGATTTCTACCTGATTAATCCTGAGTAAACTACATTAATTAATCCAGAATAAATGTAAAAAAGATTACTGTGAATGAAAAATGAGATTACAAAACAATCCTTTACTTTGCTATAGCCTTTGGAGTAGAAGATAATCTGACATCCTCCCTGTGGTAAATCAGAGATGACTTCTTTCTTTTTCTTGTTATTAATATTTAAGCTATTTACAGTGAGATAGATATATGAAATACTTAATGAGCAGGTAGGAGTATAAAATACTTTCATTTTAAATATTTAAAAATATTTAATGTTTGATCTGGTGACAGTTTTGTAGATTGGCAACTTGGACCATACCCCTTGGTATACATTTAGCTGGCAGATTCAGATGGCAAACTGAGTATTTTATTTGAAGTCTTATTTATCTTGAGACCTGATATCTGTAAGTGGCATTAAAAAAGCACCCTCCCTCCTCCACACCAACTCCTCCCTCCCCAAAACCTCCTTAAATATTGATAAATTCTAACCGTTGTTTGTGAGATGTGTGACAAGTTATCCTGTGTTGGAACACAGTCTCCCAACTGCCTACTAAAGGTGCTCATTTATTATGTAAATGTAGTGAGCCTTTGGCTTTTTAAGTTGTTCTCAATGTTTCACTAAATTTTAAACTTTGGACTTCTTTTTTTTTTTTATACTTGTTTTTAGCTGGTGAAGGCCTGGGGTGCTCACGTGACAGCAGTTTGTTCTCCTGATGCCAGCACACTGATGAAAAAGCTTGGAGCGGATGATGTGATAGATTACAAATCTGGAAATCTGGAAGAGCAACTTAAAATGTTACCCTTGTACGTGTTTGTGTTGCTTAATGCTGAGATGAAGGAGTTGGCAGTCGGACCTTCTGCCTTTTGATTGCTTGACTCCAGTCTATCAGAACTCCCTCTTTTTTTTGTGGTTTTTTTTTTTTTTTCCCCCCCATTTCTAAAGCGTTACTTTGTAAAGCAAATTCATCCCAGCCCTTTTTGAATGCCATCTGCCAAGTGAGTATCCCAGGCACAGATTTCATTGTAAGACTAAGGCAGTTAATTGGGCTTGTGAAGGCAAGCTCACTTTCATGTGCTTCTCTTCAATGGCTGGGATTTGAACAGTTTTGTCAGCTTCCATCCAAGGATCTTGGAGCATTTACAAAGCATGAATAAATTACAATAAGTCTCAGAAATCCTATGTGAGGTTAGTAAATAGTAAAATTGATCTTCCAGAGGTAAGACCAATGTCACGAAGCAGTTAACTGACGTGCCTGAAGGTCTTTAGCCACTGTGCAACTCAACTGGGAGTAAATTTCTCTTCTGTTAACACTGGGTACAGGCTGCCTCTGATCAACACTTATCTTGTCACAGCAGTTAAACTAGCTTGGGGGTTTTCTCTAGAACTGAAGTCTTTTTTGCTTTTGTAATCTTTCTATCTGTTTAAACTTAGTCTACTGTGACTCGTATTTGAATATGGTATTTACACTGCTCTTTTTAGCTAGATTGAGTTCACTTTCTAGGAGGGGAAATAGAAGCTGTTCAATCTGTGAAAGAATCTTACTGATAACTGTGCTAAGAAGGCATGTACCCGTTAACTATGGTGTGATTGTCAGCAGGCCTGACGTCAGCTCTGAGGGTATTGGCACTGTCTGTATGGGCAGGATGTGCAGCAACTAACTTTGCAGTTTGCAAGCAGTGCTAAATTTTCCTTTGTGCAATTCAACATCTTAAATGCTAAACACTTACTCTAGCAAGTGATCCTTTTTAGGAGATATCAACAGCACTGTCCTGGTGTGCAGTTTTATGATATAGCTGAGCTGATCAGTCAGGTACGCTGAGAGGGATGTTCCTACTTCCCTCTCCTTTTCAGTTGTACTGACTCTTCAGACCCCATAGTGAGCTAGTTTTTCCTGGAGCATTAGTTTTCATGATTTTAATTTCTCTTGTTGGCAGCTAACTGTTAGGTTGACTGAACTTTAACATGAAATCATATCCTTGCAAGACAGGCGGGAAAACTTGTCTTTCCAGAGATAAGAACTTTGCTATTTAATTTGCATAAAGTGTTTTCCCTCTTATTTGTAGGTTATTTAGATTAGATGTATGTCTATATACATACCTATTGCAATCTGGAGATTGCTGGAAATTTACAGATGAAAATAAGAATGAGTTGTGTGTCTAACAGAATAGGTGCATAGCTCCCTGTTGCCCTATTCAGCTTTTACAGGCTCACATGCTGGGATATTGAGAAGGAACGCTGAAACTGTGGCTTGTTGCCAGAGGCTGCGTACACCCCTTCCATGGGGGGAAGGTTTTAGACCCTTTGGATTGTTAGGTTCTACGTTGAATAGGTAGATGCGAAGAAAAGAGCTGTCAATAGAGGTAAAATGGCCCCAAACAAATAAGGAGGTCAAAAAAAGACTTTTAGAAGTGAAGCTGAGAATTGGGTCACAGAAAAGATGCGAGGAGATACAGATTAGTAATTTGTTGAGGTAACTTTGGCCGCTGGAGCTGACTTTCAAGTGAGTAGGGCATGTGCAGGAGATGTTCCTAGTCAGGGCATGAGTCGAGACTAGTTTTTACATGCACGTAACATATTGTTCAATGCTGAGACCAGACCTCAAGACTGTTTCAGTAGTCTCAGTGGGAGAGCTGAAGAGGTGGAGCTCTAGAAGGCTTTAAGCAAGTAGAGCATGTAGTTGTGCATCTCAGAGTCTGCTTTTTGGAGTTTAAAAGTTATCTAAATAGCGTGTGTCTACTGTGCAGTGAATGGGCAATAACCTGTAAATTTAACTCCCATTGTACAGTAACGCTGGAATTTAGCTGAAGTCTTGGGACTTTCTTGCCACTATCTTGCAGGCAGATTATTTTATTGCATTGCGGTGACAAGTAAAAATGTAAACTATAGCCAATTTCTGATATGAGTTAACTTAATTATGATGAAATTCTTTTTCCCATATTGTGATTTTAAACCTGTTCTTTACACGTCTGCAGATTTGATTTCATCCTAGATAACGTTGGTGGATCCACTGAGAAGTGGGCTCTAGATCTCCTGAAGAAATGGTCAGGAGCAACGTATGTCACCTTAGTGACACCTTTCCTGATCAATATGGACAAACTTGGAGTGGCTGATGGCATGTTACAAACAGGAGTCACTGTTGGTTCCAAAACTATTAAGGTATGTGACAAAATCCTATATACGTTAATATTATGTAGTACTCTAGTGGCTTCTTTTGTGGCTTGGATGCTAGTCTTGTGGCTCACCGAGGGGCATCTGTTGTATTTTCCTCACTTAAGTATACTTCAGATGCATTTTTATTCTTTTCTTCTTTCTTGCACTGAAAAACCAAAAGCGTTGGGGTGGTGCTGATTGGTGTAAGTGGTAGTTTGGGGTGCTTTGAAGTTTTGATTCCCTATTGTGCTTTTCCTTGTGGCCTTTTCCATACGGCCTCCCTCATGAGTCCTGCTGACAGTTACGTGTTTCACAGTAAACGGAGCAAATCCCTGCCTCATTGAAGTGAGGGTAATTTTGCTACTTGCTTTAGGCTGCTCAGGCTTTCTCTCAAAATGTTGTTCCATGACTGATTCTCTTCATCCTATTCCAGCACCACAGAGTAATAAAAGTGATTGAGGGTGGCTACAAAGTCTTTCATCTTTTTCATGCTCGTGTGTCTGGATGGTGATACTGATTTTTCTAGTTTTTGTGAAGTGGATCTTAAAACATTCTGTCGGTGGCCAGATCAGCAAGGCTTTTTAGAACGTTTCTCTTTCTTCTCTCAACATGTGTACTTGCTCTCCAAATGAATGCTTTTCAAGCAGTTGCTATGGTATTCCTGTGATGGCATGGTTGAATGAGATTCTAAGTCCTGCACCAATACTTTCAAAGGAAAGCTCAAAAACAAAATGAAAAGGCTGGGAAGAAATAATGTAATATTATTTCTCAGTGTGCATGTTTCCATGATGAGGATCATTGTATGCCATGTATTAAAAATCATCTCTGTTTGGCAGATGACGGCTCTTTTCCTGTAATGACTTACTCAGAGGAGGTGCTTTTGGCTCGTGCTTGTGAGACCTTCCCCAAATCCTTTTCATGTTTGCTGCCCTCTGTCATTGGATGGTGATGACTTTGGCAGATGTGATGATGGAAAATTTAGTCACTGACACTGAGGTGGAAAGTTCTAAACATCACACTGCTGGGTTTATTTCACCCCCTTTGTGAATGTGTATAAACATATAGCACCATTTCTCTCTTAGGTAACAAATAATGCTGTTTCTAGCTGCAGACACAAGGTGATTGTTTTTCTCAACTAGCTGACTTGTGCAATTGGACAGAAAATTCACCCTGATCCTATTGTGGTAGTGCAACATCGTTGTCTGTACATTTAATCCACATGCTTTGGTGACTTTTTTCAGACACTACCATGTAATTTCCATGTCTTTTCCTTAAGTTACTTCTTGAGTGCTTCCATCATTAATTTTAGTTCCCATTTCATTTTCCTCTCATGATTTTTTAATATATTTGTGATCTTTCTTGCAGCATCTCTTGAAAGGAGTCCATTATCGGTGGGCATTTTTTACACCAAGTGGCCCAAGTCTGGATGAAATAGCAGAACTAGTTGATTCTGGAAAGGTATGTCAGTAATGGTTATTTGGGTATTTGTGCCAAAAGAGGTGCTGCTTTGACTCAAAAATGGTGTAGTTCACAGGGAATAAAATGTTATGAGAGTCACAGTGAGGAAAACTAGTTAAGAACTGACTTGCTCCAGTTTCCAACTTTGGCCTTTTGCATGGAATTTAGGAGTTCGTAATCCTTAAGACTGTTCTGCCTTCTCCTTCTCCACCCTACCTGTTTTTAAAAACACAAAGCTTACTAAGTTATACAGAATGTCCGGTGATTGTTTATTTTTGCCAGTGGGAATCATTTAGCATGAACTCTGCTGTTGAAAATGATGCATGTTTTAAGAGGTCTCGTTTGGTGAGAATGAACATGACTGCGTGTATCTGCATATGCAAAATTGCTTAGCCTGGATGATCAGGAGTCCTGCCCATAATGTGCACAGAACTAGAATATTCAGGTTCTTGCAGGTCATAGACAATCTGCGTTGGCAGAGTGGTGACAAGAATCTTGTGTTTCATTATTTCAGTGCTTCAGAGTATAACGTTAGTGCTAATTCAGCATGGTGACTTGGAATATTGTGAGCGTTCATAAGCTTTCGGGGAATCTCTTAGTGGACTTGGGGGAAAGACATGAAGTGGCAGATAGATTACTGCTTTGCGGATCTTTCAGGTTTATAAGCTTGTTACAAAATGTGTGTGAGAGTGAGCAGTTGATTGCCTGTTTATTGGACTGTGTGGTGCTGTAGGTCCTGGCAATGTCCTCTTTTGGATAATCTCATGTTGCCAAAATTCTCAAGAGTAGAGAATATGGACAACCGCTGTTAATCTTTCTGTGTGGTACCTAAGGAGAAGAGTCTGCCATGACTGCTGGTAGTTCCAGTATGTGAACTCTCAGGCCATCTTGTGCTCAAAATTTGTGCATATTTGTAAAATTTAGATCTCTCAAAGTTTGAGTGTTGAGCTCCTTTTTCGCTCTGCGTTATGTTCCAGAGTTTGGAGAAGAGTGAATAAATTGCTGTCGTACTTAAGGCCTGATTGCTTCTATTTGCCACCTTAGTGCTGCTGCTCAGAATAAAAATCTTCCTGAATTCAGATGCTCCTATCCCTCGGTCATGACCCAGCCAGTGGAAAGGCTATGTTTCCTAAAAAGTTACCTACTCATAAACAGAGGCTGCAGCAGCAGCAAATAAGCTGTGGTGAAGTGTGTTCCTGGCTACAGCTTTGCACCACTCTTGCCTTGCATTATCTCCAGTGCCGTAAGCATTATCTCATGGTCAAGAAAGAAACCCTAGAAGATGCTCCTCATCCTATGATTGCATCCATTCACACTACTAAAGTATAATTGTCTAAGAAACAGAAATGCCCTTGTCTTTGTTCTTACCATTTGTCCTGATTCTTAGCCAGTCACAACTTGTTTGGTGTTCTGCTCCTACCTTGTATGCAAAACAAAATGCAGAATTTGCCCGTGAAAGCCTCTTGGGAAACACCTGTTTATGCACTAGAGAGAGGGCTTAATCAGTGTTCTCTGCCCAGAAGTCTGGACAGGTGAATGGTAATGCCATTTAACATGTACGTCATACATATATGAATGTCCTGATGTACTTTTTGTTGTAAGATGATCATGAGGACAAACATGTTTGCGTGGTCTTTTATTCTCTGTGCAAAACCAGGTCATAATCTCAGACTGTTTATCTGCATAGTCATTATTCTAGCAGCATTTTACTCTTATTTTGTAAAATGTTGTAAACACCTGTCCTATCATCCGTATTGTGTAAGACCCAGCTGTGTTCCATTTAGACCGACGTTAACAAGACTATGACCTTTATTGTCTAGACACAAGAGTTCTCTTAAATGGACAGATCATCCATTCAGGAGAGCAGGCGTTTGGAAAAAAGGCAGGAGAGAATGACTGGAGGAGGTGTACCGTAATTTCCCATAACTAAGTGAAAATAAATGTTTATGTTTGAATAGGAGAGAATAAATGAGAATTAAAAAAAAAAAACAAAACAAAACACAAAGCAATAGAAGTGCAGCAAGATGACTTGGGGAAGCCAGCAAAGTGAGCTCATGTAGTTGAACTTCTTTGTTTTGAGTGAATATAGTTTTGAGTAATGCAGATTTAGTTATTTTGAAATTTCAGTGAATTGTATTTTGTGTTACAGACATCTTAATTTTGAGCTTGTATGAAGTGTGAATAGGAGAGCCATTGGAGAGCTCCTGAAAACGAGAGGCTTTTTTTCAGGAAAGTATAAATCATGAGGGGAGATTTAAATAGAGGAAATTAAAAAGAGCTGATGGTTTAAAGAGATGATGTTACAGTAAGTGAAGCTTTGAAGAGCACGCCCCTGAAGCAGTTACAGATCATCTTGATTTTGTCAGTGTTTTTTCTTTTGGTCCTTTTGCACCAGCACAGATTTTTAGTTCTGATGAGTTCATCATCTTCGTTTGCAAAAGCAAAAGGATTCTCAGTCCTTCGGTGGATGAAGAATAAGCAAAGAGGGCATTTTGTTTAAAGATACTTGGTTTTCACATGGATGGTCTTTGCAGCAAGGAATAGAGATTTGCAAAATGTCAGCTCTGAGGAGTTCTTTTAACAGGCTTTTTTAATGGTGAAGAGAAGGAGATGATTTGATGAGCCGGTAGTGCAAGGAAGGAGAATGATTTTCATTTTGTAATTTACCTGCACATCAGCTCAGTTCTGGGCATTGTAAAACCATTTTCAGTTTATGAGCTGTTTTCTCTGCCTTGCAGCTGGACATCTTCCAAAGAGACCACTGTGGGGCTGAGGGGTTGGGAGGCTGCTGCAACAGTAGTGAGCACAGAGAAAATTTCCTTGGTATTCCCAGAGAAAGTATTTCCTTGTCAAATTTTAGAGATCCTGGCTACTTTCTAAACTACTGGGAAGTCCCTGTTGTGGGTTGAACTCCGCCAGCTAATTACGAGCCAGTAAGGACTAGCTTCATGTGGGCTCCACCAAAGGAGTTGATGAAGCACATGAAAGAAGCTGGAGATCTCTTTCCATGGCAGAATGTTCCCAATGAATTACAAAGTTCTCATCTAAAGACAACTGAAAGCAACAGAGCCTTCAGGACACGGATTCGCTGGCATGCCGTTCGCTGAACCATCATCACTGGTCTCTGCTGCCAGCCTAGTCACTGAAAGGCTTGTTAGGAATTAGTTTGATGTATTCGTGGTCAGCGTTGTGGATTTAACATTGACACTCTTGGGTTTTGCTGCTTGCTTAACTTTTTCCTCCTTTCTAGGGATGTACCATTTATTCCGTGGTGAAAATATACCAAACTCATATAACTACGTAAGGTTGTAGAAAGCCTCTAACTTATAACTGAGTGCTTACTTTGCCTTTTATAAAGCCTGATGGAGGAAAGCAGGCTCAAAAGACGTCTTAGTGTCGTAAGGGGGGAGCACTAAGTATGTTGGATGTTCCTGCTGGCCCATCATAGGATGTGGGTTAACATTCAGCCCTACAGAAATCTGAAATTTTCATTTTAATTCCATGCCATTTAAATGCAGATGTGTGTGCGTCCAGTATTTCTGGTGGCTTAATACTCTTCAGAGCAGAGTTGCATCAGATGGGCTGATGGGTGGAAGTTGATTTTGCAGAAGGAAGGCTAAAGGACAAGTAGAGTCTCTGGTCATGAAATGAAGAGATCATTCTCTATGGTGTTCGCTTTCTATGTAAATGTTGCAGCACGGGCACACATAAGAAAAACAATTGCATGCCTATATTAATGTAATTTGTGTGTAATGTTGGTTATACATTTTGCTGAAGACAGCAGATGCTGTTGTGGTTTGGAGGACAGGATGCTGCCGACCGCTGCTTCTTCCTGTGCAATGCTGTACAAATCACAGACCCTTCTGCTAACATAATTTCTCCATCTACTAATGAGGGCTAATGCCCTTTATCCACCTTCGGTGATTTGCTCTGAGATACCTTGTTAAAATGTGGAATTCGATTGTTTTCTATTGCTGGTCTTTGTTATTCAGGAAGTAAGTAACACAAATGGATACTGTCATCTACTTTGACATTACTTGGGTTTTAAGTTGTTTGGATGGCCATGATTTAAGATGGCTTACATTCCTCCTGCTAGCCTAGGTTATCACAGCTCCTTGACTCTGTATTCTAACCCCTGTGTAGTGATTTGCTTCCAATTCATCATCTTACAGTTCTGCAAGTAACTTTTTCCCTGGCCCTTGTTGCATAATTGTTGCAGATTTCTCTCATCTGTAGGAATATCAAACACCTAATGTAACATATTGAGTCCTTCAACGTTCTCCAAATCTGGCATCTCTAGATGTGGTTTTCTCTGCAGTAATTCCAGACTTTGTCTTTACGGCCGTGCTAAGGTATCTTAAGGTAGTTGTGGTGACCCGCCCTTGGGTGGTGTCTGCTTCACTCTCACTGACTGAAAAAGGACACTAGGGTAAGTTAGTCTGCACTTAAATGTCTAAGTTGACTAGAGAGAAGTCCTTCTGCCCGCTCTCTTTAGTCACTCACACTTGTTCTGACGACCATCTTTCTCCATGCTAAATTGCAAAGCTTGCGCTTTTTTTTTCTTTTTTTTTTTTTTTTTTAAATTCTGTGTTTTGTTGTTGCAGTGCTTTTGTTTGCCAGGTTGGCTGGCTAGATCCCAGAGATGTTGATCAAGGAGAGGTTGCCAAAAGCTCTGGTCAGGCCTTTCTCTTCCAAAAGCAACCTCTGTCTGCATTTTGTCCCGGCCACCAAAAAAACCCACTGTGATTTTTATTAAAACTCATCTGCTCCTCTTCCTCCAGGACATGGTAGCTTGCTTATACTCTTTATGAAAGCGCTGTGTTATTACATCATAAAGTATCTGTGAAAAGCTAATGGAAATTTTGCATACTGGGGAGAGAGAGGGTTTGAATATATACATTCACATAAAGCACAATAAGGTCTGGAAAAATTTGGTTATATACCAGGTATTTAATCAAATGTGTTGCCTCAGTCTGACGTAATTGCATATTCAGTAGAAA